AACAACGAATTTTAAAATAAATGTTAAAATGCCTATGAACTTTACTAAACATTAAATACATAATCTAAGGTATGAAGACCCGTTGAATGTTATATAAAATGACATATAATTAAATTAGGTTTCATGCTGAAATTAGCTGATCGGAAAGCTTTAGTGAGTGTTTCCGACTACCCACCGAATGACTTCCTGCTGAAGCACAGTGTTCATTGACTGTTCGTAAAGAATCGGGTAAGCTTCAATGACAGCTTGCAGGTTGAACACTTCGGGAGATCTCTCCAACAGGCTTTTTGCCAAATCCTCCACAATTTCATCACGAGACTTGCCAGTGGCCTGTCCGCCACTCGAGGATTTCGGCTGTAGTTTAATCAAATCCCCTAACACAGCAAAGGTCTCATTCTGCGCAAATGTTATATTAGCGTTGTCGTGTAAACCGAAAATCTCAGGCAGATCGTTTAGAGGCAGACTTCGTAGGTATTCCAAGTAGGCCTGTGAAATAATAAATTAATATCATGTTAAAATGGAGATCAAATTTGTGACTAATTAATATTTTAGTCACAATTTTATCTTTGAAGGAATAGTTAGTTATCATTTTATCTGAAAAAGCCGGAATTGTTGACTTCATAAAGTAATCGCTAGAAATACTTATAATGAATGAATTTTAACAACCTTACCCTATGAGGCCCACTTTTGAATTCTCCTTTCGCTATACTATATTAAATAGTCCAGCAAAGAATTCTGAATGCAGGCAAATATTTTTTACTTTTCTCATCAATACGCAGCCAATATATATATATATATATATGAATTCCCCCAATTCTCGCACAAACAAATGAAAATCCTATGTTTGTATGAAGGCACCGTAATGATATGATTGAATAATTCCCAGCGTTAGATCATGGACTTAGTACATTCCCGGATGTTTCGCTGGCATCGTCAATGTGTCTTACCAGTTTTAGCCCCAAGTTAAAGCTCACCAGAGAACATAATCATTCGGCAGAAAATTTCTTAAGGAATCAACTTTACTTGGCTCGCTGATGAGCCTGGTGTTAAGAATGGCAAATATTACTGATGAAGCCGACTGGGATGCCAGCCAAACGTCTAGGTATGTATCAAATCCACGGTACAAAGCTGCAATTTATTATATTAGAGGACTTCGGACAAGGTATGTCCAACTAGGTTGTTCTGACAACACGACGAAGTTGCGAAATCGAGGTTACTTCTATAATTTTATAGATAGTCTTAACTAAAAAGGCAGAAGAGATTTGTTTATGCAAGCAATGATATTTAGCGAATAATGAAAATTAATACAAATGATGAAGAAAGCGCTTAAGTCGATGTCATAATTTACTTACATTTATTCGATTTTTTATAATCAAAAATGATAAACTAGAAGTCTAAAAGCTGGTCTAATAGGCCAGAGAGAAATGAAACTGATCAATGGGTTCTGCGCATTTTTAACTAATTAGGTTCGAAGCAAAATTATAGTATGTCAAGAAAAGTAGTATGGTAGTGCACTTATTGGCTTTCATAGCTGATGAACTATGCCAGAAAGGAATCATTTTCTAGCCTTTGATATTTTCCATATCTATTAATGATGAATATAAGCCAAAAAGATTCTATTTCAGAGATAGAGGTCGATTTCTAGAAAATAGTTTAATATGTTAATGCAAGCAAATGAAAAAAATTTAATAGAGTTGATCCGGTCGTGGGGAACGGTAGATGTGCGTATTGAAATTCAAGAAGTCTCAATAACTGACGGAGATCTTGAAAGGCGTTGAGGGTAATCTTGAGATGCAAAATCTGTCTTGCATGATATTAGCAAGATCGAAACATTTGAACCTGGCCTCGACATCTGTTAATGCTGATAATTATAGCTCAATCATTGCTTTAGTCAACATCTAAAATCTGAAAAATTTACTTTCATGTGCTAATCAGTGTTCATTATACCAGACTATTCCTCAAAGGCCAGTTTCTTAGTCATGAGCCAAGCCAACACTACCACGAAGTACCGGTTCAAAACTAGACATGATCTGTACGTACATAAAAAATCTACAAAAGATTAAGGTAGACATGCAGGGCTTAACTTTATCACTAAATTATGCACACTAAAATACATGAGAAAAAAGCTTACAGCAAAAATATTTGCGTGTGTTTAATGCTAGAATGTAAAAATCGATAAAAAAATCTAAAGATTAAAAAAGTATTAAGAACCCAACTTCTGATTTTGTTCGAACTAACATCCTCATCTAAGAATTTTGATCAATATTAGGAAAGGCATAAGAAAAAAGTTTAGAATTTGTAAGTTTTGCTTTTTTTTGTGGGGAAGCTTTCGTGAAACGGCTGCTAGAAAAGACAAAACTGGCCGAAACTGAAGGAAGCGCATTAACCATGTTCTTGTGCCCGTGAGATATGTCTAAAAATAAAGTACATGAGTATTTGCAAGAGACCTTTGGATCTCATATTATAAAATGGGTAAGATCTAAACAAAAGTTAGAATAACGAGGATGATGAGAATAGAGAGGACAAGTATGTGCGAGGATTCTTTCCAAAGTTACAGCATTGGCGACTGACTATAGGAGGCAAGTGCATTTCCAATAACTTTTGTTATTACATGCTAATATGGAAGAAGATAAACACTTTTGAAGAACTGGTTTGAGCAAAAACAGGCTTCCTCAAGATGTGCATCCAGGGAGGATTGTTGTTTGCTGATTTTGAACCCGAGACTAAGTGAAGTCACACAAATATGTCGCCTCAGAAGCAATTTAGGGTTATGTAATCATCAGGCAAGTTGATGCCATTTATTTTTCTAGATTGCAAAGATAGATGCTGTGATTTACTGGTTTGAAAAGTAGAACTCCTATTTATATCCTTTATCTGTATAGTTTGAACTATTACTAACAATTGCCAATGACCCTCTAAAGCTTTTATAAAAATTACATAACATCCATTGTCAATATAAGAAAATCTTTTTCATATCATGATAGAACACACCAAAATTTAGTTTTTTGTACCGTTTAGATTCTTTTCCATGCACACAAAACCCCTTAGATAATAATGGGATTTATGATTAGGTTGAGTATTTCCTAAAAGAGTTATCCGTTACATGTCTCTTTGGTGATCCAAAGGCAGGTATATTTGCTAAAGATACTGAAATTATAAGAAAGACCTATCATGCCTACGAAATTTACTTATCCTTGCCTGCAACAAGTTATTCTCATTGAAAATGAACTGAAGTTTAGACTTCGTCTAGACCTTATCAACACTACCGAATGGAAAATTTCATTCATTTAAAGCGGAAACGCAATAGCACAAATGCTATTGAGTCATAAGGCACATGGCTTTCATGGAAAACCAAATTTAGGAATAAGTGTTTACGTCATTTTTTGTCGCATAATGTTACGAAGGACTGATAGTTGAATGATTCTACAATGAAGCAAATAGGACCTACGTTTCTATTAAATTTCACGTAGCCTTGCTTCCATAAAAGTGTTCTCTGCAAGGCTATGTAAAATTAAATGTTATCCTGAGGCTTACACACATAAAAGCTAGAAACTTCAATTATCAAACCTTTATAATCTCATGCTAACTAGGGAGACTAGAACCCCTATTCAAGACCTAATAATAGTCCCTTAATCTACATACTATGAAACCACGTGTATTCCTATTAATGTGTGACGGGTTTGACAAGGCAAATGTGTACTGACATATCTTTCGGTTTGTGTGAAAAGGCTGGCGGCATCATCGGATAACGAAGGTGGCAGTTTGTATTCTGATAACCTCTTATATATGGATCGGCAAGTCTTCCTTACATAGACGCTACCACATGAGCAAAAAACCTTATAACGACCTGATCTTTATACATTGTCTTGACGTTCCATTTCTTCAGTAACTCGCCTATCTTTCTCGAAAGCTTGCACGATGATAGCTTAGAAACCTGGACGAAGAGTTGTCTAATGTCTCGTTTTAACCAAATTAATGATTTCATTACACCCTATTTATTAGTATTTTGAAATTGTTAACAATTAATCATAACGGATGATTGTTCTCAACTAAGATTTATCGTAGCCCTTGTCACTCATGTTCTTGATGATTTACGTCCGCTAGACGGAAACTCCTTATTATCATTGATTTCATCATCTTATAACACCATAAGTATACTTCGAGAAGAAATTAAGAAGGAAACGTGCATTTGTGGGTTAGTTAGTGTTCTTCTTTAATAGCTAGGATATTTAAAAAGGATAGCTGACTATGCTTTTATAACTCCACCGTGAATTTAGTCGTCTTAACTTATCTATTCAATAACCCAAGGAAGTCTTTCAAAACACTATTTTTCATGCTGCGAGATAGCAAAGTATTCATCCATATTTCTGACCAATAGGTTCGGAACTAGGAGTGCTTCTTGAAGAACAGAACTTCTAAGTAGGCCATGTAGTTAGTATAAAAACTGGAGACAAACACGATTCCATAGCTAAACCTCCGGTTTGTTCATAGAATTTACCAGTAAAGGTAAAATATGTGCTACTCTGTATTAAGTTCGTCAATGTCATGCTTGACTCCTTGCTTATCTTATTTCCTCGAATCATTATTATGGTGCGAAATTAGGATCAATGGAATTAATTACAATATAGGAGTTTACGTCTAGCGGACTTAAATCATCAGGAACATTAGTTAAATGGGCTAAGAAAAACCTTTGTTGAGAGCAATAAGCCGTTAGGATTAATTGTTTACAATTTCAAAATAATAAGAAATAGGGTGAAAGGAAACTATTAATTGGGACAAAACAAAGAATTAGGCAACTCAAGCTTTCAAGAAAGGTAGGCGAATTACAGAGGAAATGGAGCGTCATGGCAATATACAAAGAAACAATAACGCTTCATTCAGCCATGCTTTCTTTTAGAGAATCTTCAGACGCCTTCTGCAGATCGAGTTATTGTACAGTTTTATGCTCACGTGGTAGTGTTTATGTGGGGGGTACTTGCCTAGCTATGCATAAGATGCTATCAGAACACAACACCGCTCGCGGAGGTTGTGGATTAAGAAATCAGAGATGGCTGAACATGTGGTCACAACAGGAGACCAGATAGAGTTGTCTAAATCCCAACGTTTTGCCGGATATGGCGAATCCACAACTAAGCGAAAGATCAGGGAGTCGCTTGAAATTAACAAAACAAAGAACATTCTGAATAAGAGAAACGAGTGTATGAAACTAAAAACTATCTCCGGCTGATAAATAGAATTAGAGAGAGAGAGAGAGAGAGGAGGAAAGCGAACAGGCATAACCATAGAGTAAGAGGCTCAAAATTGTCAACCAACTCGTGAGTGTTGCATCCAGGAGGCTGTACCAAGCTATGAGATTATAGGATCATACGCGAGTTAATTTATATATACAAAAGTAATGACCACATCCGCTTCCCTTCCTGCATTACTTTAAGCCGCTTGCATGCATGTAGGACAAGGATAAAGTGGTCAACCAAATCATGGGATGCCTCATTAAGATCGCAAAGTAAAGTACAAGAAGTAAATAGGATCTCGGCCGGCCACCTATCTTGATTTTGTTTTTTCGGTTATTGTTTATGAATAATGGCTTCTGGCTTTGACGATGTCCATCACATGATGGACGAAAGCTCATCCAAGAGTCATTGGGGCAGCAGAAGGGTGAGTCGATGTCTTCTTCGCACAATTAAACGGTCAAAAGTCCAAGGTAGCTCTGCTTCACAAATCCCTTCCGCACGCCTTTTCAAGCAAAATGAAGTGTTTGATAGCATCAATCTGCTAAGGGATTCTTCGAAAACCAGCTTCTCTTCATATCATAAGAATAATTATTCTTTGCTAAAAAATCTAATAGGTAAAAAATTTAGAGAAATACAAAATTTTCTGATGATATCGCACAGTTTAAGAAACGGTGTACAATGCTAGCCATCCGTGTTGGGGAGACGCTAAAATGTCTGGATGGTCAATCGAAAGCTAAAAATCGACTGAATACTTCACTCACCGAGTGATCAGAAGTGCCAGGAATCTGTTTGTAGATGCCCGACTCAGAGTAGCTAAAACTGTCATTAACCACGACTGAAGAATAAAACTCGGATAGGATATTCATCACACAGCGTCTGTCCCAGTCGTCTGTTACGCGTCCGCCATAATTGATGTGGCCTGCTGTATATCCGAGGACCTGAATAAAAGACAGCGCATGTGGCATACGATAAGAAGAATATATCGTTTAATAAATTAACTGAGATAGTAACAACTTAGTAATTCATAATCATAGTATGATGCCATAATGGAATTCTTTAGCTAAATTCATTTCAATGAGGAATACATGTTGGAGGTATCGTTGATCATATTCCCTGAAATTTCATCAAAGAAACTCAAAACCTTATATTGTTTTAATGCTATGTCCAATAGCAGATGATCACGAATCGTGTAAAGCTGGAAGCTAGGGGTTTTCAAACTTCCATGAAGTAATATGAGATGTATTCACTCAATTTCGTTTAAGGTGATGAAGGAGTTGTGGAAGAAGAAATTTTCCCACAAGGATATGAGTTGAGCTGACGTTTCCATTGAATTTAACATAGCCTTGCTTTCCCAAAAGTTGTTCTC